ATTTAATGTATAATAAAAGGTAAAATAAAGTAGAAAAAAAAAAAAAAAAAAAAAAAAAATTTTTGGTGGACGACCTAATATATTACAAATTTAATATTGTTTTGTACCTAATTTGAATTATCAAAAATGATTAGTGAATATTAATGTTGACTGCATTAAACAATTTAAAATTAAATTAAATCAACGTTTGACAGATGACGCTGTATTACAATTCAATTATTTCAATATATTCAGGTCATACGTTTATTTCAGATTTACATTTGACATAACTACCCTTACTTTTTATATTTTCTCGAGTATTAAATTAATTTGACTATATGAAATTGTTCAGAACATTTCAATTAAATTAACATTTTAAACAAAATTAACTAAAAATTAATAAAAGTTAAATCAACATTTTATAACAAAACTACAGCAATGCGTAGGTAGCCGGAACATCCTAGTATTATAGAAATTTTAAATCTCGTTGAGGTTGATGAAAAACTATTGGCAATAATGTTTAATAAATAGGAAATATAAAGCTTATATGAAATATTCTAGAAATTTTTTTCGATGAAACATTCGATATTACATTTTTCTATCAAATATTTGTAAATGAAAAAGTATGGTCGATGGAAATAAAAAAAAAGAACTTACAATATAATGTTTCCTATTGGAAAATTATTAAAATTTCTATTGGATATTGCTCCTCCACACATTGTGCATGTACATCATATGTGTTTATATTGTATATAGTATCTGTATGTATATATATACATGGAAGCTTACGCTTGTTGCGCCTGCCTTCCTGCTTCACGTTGGCTTTAATTTCCGGTACACTTGTCGGATAAAAAATATAGACCTCTTCCGATCCCTAGTGAACGTCATCAATTAATATTTACCAATGACGAGTATGTCAGTGTGTGTTAGTATGTGTGTGTGTGTGCGTGCATTAAAGCGATTCAGATCATCGATGAAATCTTACTCGTTAATGTCATCCTTTTACGACTGTTATCACCACAAATGTTTTTATAATCTTCCTGGTGTTTCTATTCTTCGTTTATTTGATACGAATAATTCACATTAAAAAAAAAAAAAAAAAAACTATTCTTAGATAAATTTACTTTGTATTTTCTCAATGTACAAACTTTGAAATTTATTTCTAAACCTGTTGAGAAGAAGTGATGAATAAAATTGCATTTTATTTTATTCTATAATATTAAAAATAACATAAAATTGCATAATACGTAAATATACAGCGTAACCCCTATACTATAATATTTTTTTTCATTTTTCTTTTTTCTTTTGTTCGTTTTATAAAACTAAAAACAGAAAATATATTTATTGTGGTTGTATCTTTTAATGTCGTTGTGTATAAAATTTCGGGGGGGGGGGAAATGTAACATCTTCTGGCTATATAAATATATATTGAAAGATTTATATTAAACTATTAAAAATAAAAATGCAAATAATAATAATAATAAATAAAGAAAAACACCGCAGAGATAACGTAGAAAATATATTCACAAATATTCGAATTATTTGACCACATAAACCCGATTGTATAGTACTCGAATATCGCGAAATGTTGAAAGAAGACACATGAACGAGAAGAACTCGATGTATGAAACTTTTTTGAGACAGAACAAGAATAAAAAGAAGATGAAGAAGAAGAAGAAAAAGAAGAAGAAAAATGAGAAAAAGAAAGGAAGAAAGAAATAAAGAAAGAGAGCTGGAGCAAAGATACGACGAAACGATTTAACTCTTTTCTCGCTTGCCACATTCTCAAATGAAATCCAGACAGAAATATATGAACGAGTGTGTGTATGTGTGTGTTTAACTTTGAAAGAGAAGACAAATTTTCGGAAGAGTCATTTTCCACGAAAAAGAATCAGAAGAATAAAATTCAATCGAATAAAAAAAAAAAAAAAAATACAAGAAAGGATAAAAAAGAAAAAAGAAAAAAGAAAAAAAAAGAATCTATAGCAAAGTCGATTGAAATAAGTCATTTAGAAATGTCGAAGTTATTTTTTTTTTTTTTTCGAAATTGTTTTACAATTATCTCGTAAGTTTTACAAAGAAAAATCATCAAGAAGTTTAACGAGAAAGAAAGGAAAAGAAAATAGTATAAGAGAGAGAGAAAAGAGAAGGTAGGGAGAACCGAAGGAAGAGTAAAAATAGATCGAAAGAAAAATACCTGCAGGAGGTTCGTTCATAATTTTATTCAGGGTGAGACCAAAGCCCACGAGGAGAAGAAGAAGAAGAAGAAGAAGAAGAAGAAGAAGAAGAAGAAGAAGAAGAAGAAGAAGAAGAAGAAGAAGAAGAAGAAGAAGAAGAAGGCTATAGTTCATTCAACGAGATGTGAAATAAAAATTTCGTTGATAATAATCCAGCAAGTGTGCTTCTTATGTTGGTTTTGGAGAAAAATAACAAAAAAAAAAAAAGAAAAAAAAATACAAATCTTTTCCAGGAAGAATTCGTTTTCGGCTACGAGTCAAATTCGTTCAAAGATGATATCGTGATTTTTTTTTGTTTTTGTTTTTTCGATGAATGATATAAACCATAAGATTGTATCTTTACTTTTTCCCTGTTTTCAAATTATTGAACCTTAAACCGCGTACGGTGAACTCGTTCGAGGTGTCAACGACGCGTGAATTCTTTTCTCGGATATTTTCGAAAAGAATCTTCTTATTTTTCTTCTTTCATTTTATTCTCTGAAGGATTCGTCAAAGTTAAACATGTTAATGAAACGATAATGTCGTTCAATGACACGAAGTACGGGTCAAATGTAATTTTTGAACTTTCCTTATCTTTATCGTTAAATTCGTGTTTTTAATAGAAATATTTTTTAATACTCTTCAATACGTTTTGAAGAAAGAAATAAACGCGTTTAATCGCGAATACGCGTAATGGAAATGTAACAAGTATGCGTATGTAAAAAAAAAAAAAAAAAATAAAAAGAAAAAGAAAAAAAACGAGTAAATAAAAAAGGGAGATATATTTTTGTTCCTTATCTTTAATTTGGACACCACGAGTTCAAACGTAATGCGTCATTCGAAAGATGGGAACAAGTTGGAAAGTTTTTTTTTTAAAAGCCATCGTCATATGTATGTGAAACGAGAAGAAAGGAAAGAGAGAGAAAGAGAGAGAAAGAGAAAGAGAGAGAAAGAGAGTGAGTGAGTGACTCCCCGAGCATGGATAACGAGGCTATTTAGTACGATTGATATTACTTGGTAGGGACGTGCTGGAATTAGAGAAATTAAAATGTTGCTGTGTTATTCTGACACTCTGTGGTGCGTCTGCAAAAGAAGGGGGAGGAAAAAGGAACGAGAGAAAACGTTTATTTTCCTTTTTATCTTGTTATTTCTTCGAATTAAAATTCTCAACTTTTAAATGAAACTTTCAAAGAATTTTATTTTATTAAAAAAGAGAATGAGAAAAAAAAAGAAGAAATGTACATTTAATATAAAAATGTCAATTTAATTAATCGAAAAGAAAAAAAAAAAGAAAAGTAAAATTAATACGAGAATGGAATGAAAGAAATAAAAATGTTTCTTCACTGTCCGATAGAAGAACAATGCACATTTTCCATTGCATGTATTCTGAATAAAAAATTGATGTTCAATTTAAAAAACAGCCAATAACTAAACCTATCCCAATAAAGAAATAATTTGTTTATCAAAAAAATGATGTTCAATTGAAAAAGCAACCCTTAACCAAACTTATCTCAATAGAGGAATAATTTGCTAACCAAACTAATAAATATGATCATTATTGAGAATAAGAAATAAAAGAATGAAAAAGTATAGGATTTTGTAGATAAAAGGGAGAGTCGACTCACCGAGTAAGAGGAGCTTGATGTCCTTGGCAGCTTGAAGACCATCCTCCTTGAGATTTTTCTCAATTTGCTTGCTGCGGGCCAGAGCGGCCCGCTCTTCAGCGGACATTGCGCAGCCCATTTTGCTACACGTTGCTTTCACAAACGCCACCCCCGCGCTCTTGGAGCACCCTTAGCTAAGAGAGGTGCCGGGTCCGTAAGAAGCGGCCAGGCAATGGTCCCGGTTCTGGTGGTGCTGCTGGTACAGGTACTGATGGTGCTGGTGGTGGTGGTGGTATTAATGGTGGGGGTGGTGGTGCACTGGTCTAAAGAGACTACAACACCCGCGACGCAACAAGGAACTCACCCACTCACTCTCCTCTTCCTCCTCTTCTTCCTCTTCAACCCAACACTACCGCACCCTTCGCCCTTTTCTTCCTCCTCCTCCTCCTCCTCTTCTTCTTCTCCTCCTTCTCGCCACCGCCACCGTCCTTTTCTCTATCACCAGCTCCGACACCACGAGCTTCGCCACCTCACCTCACTACCCTCCTCCTCACCTCCTCACCCCCCGGCCTAACGATAATCACCACCTGGTGCTTCCTTTCTTTCTTCGTCTTCTTCTTCTTCTTCTGCTCCACCACGTTCTCGTCTTTTCGGTGATACCCAAGATTATCCACTATCTCTTCCTCTTCTTCTTCTTCTCCTCCACTTTCTTCTTTTCCTGTTAGTATCAGCACACTTTTTTTATAATCGTTCCAGCCACTCTTTCTTATCTTTTCTTTACTTTTCTATCAATTACCCCCTGTAAAAGATAAATATTAAGTCATAATTAATTTTTTTGTGTTATTAAAATGACCGATAAAATTGATATTGAATTGTTTCATTTATTTCTATGATTTTCTTTGAATGATTAAAATTACTTTATTAAATCATAATTTTATCATAATGATATCTGTAATATTATTATTGGAATGATAATTTCTAATTAAATGGTAATCTAACGTAATCGATTATGTACTTTTATCAAAATTCTTGAAAATTTTGTAGTTGTGTCAAAAGATTATTAATGTCTCGCATTTGTTTAACTTCTGTAGCGATAAACGTGTTAAATGGATAAGATAAATTCTTCGTAAAAATATTATTAGTCATAGTAAAATTGCATTACTATAATATTATCACGTGTAGAGAAAATAAATACTATTATTTTCTTAACTTAAAAAATACTTGCATTCATATTTCTAACATTTGTACGTAACAAAAATAAATTGCAAATAGATTTATATATATATTATTTATATTATATTAATATTATATTATTATATTTATATTACATTAAATATTATATATTTTATATTTTTTATTTATTAAAACGTACAATATATATTTTTTTAATTTATATTAAACTAGCTGTGCACCGTCACACGTTACTGTAGCTCATGTTGTATAGAAAAAGATTAGATTATATTCAAATGTTTCGTGCACTCATCGAAATCTATGGCCAACAGATGGCACTGGACTTACCTGTATCTTTTTCTTTTTTTTTTTAAATTAATTAATTATTTTATWAATAATTTAATATAATAAAAACCTAGCTGTATGCGAATGCAACGTTGTGGCACAAACGAAACTTACATTTTTATATATATATATATAGATTTACCAATTGTTTAAATAATTTTTTGGAAAAGATTTATGTACTCTCAAGTAACATAGTATCATTTTCTATAATGTATCTTTTGTTTTATCTATCTCGGATGACTATTCTTTACAACACAATAGGATCATGTTTCTGACTAAAATTTTGTTCATCATATATGAAATATTATATTTTTAATATTTTTACGAAGAATATTTCTTTCCTTTTTTTTTTTTTTTTTGAATAAATGAAATATTTGTTTGAAAGAATTATTATTTGTCTAAAAAAAATTCTAAGCATAATTATATCTAACTATTACCACAAAACAATTTCTAGGATTTTCTTAATCGTTGGATTTATTCTGATTAAAATGAGTTTGTTCAAATTGTGACCGCATTGTCGCGTTTTAATATTTCATGTATATATAAAACTACACATACAGACACACACACTCACACACACACACACCGATTTACTCGTCATCTAGACAACCAAGAAAGTAATATGAAATTTTCGTTACTTAAACTAACACGCAAACAAATGGTCGTCACGAAGTCGTAGTTTTGTTCACGAAGGTGTGGCTTTTACATCATAAAGTATGGCAATTTTGTTGTATAAAAAGAAAAAGAAAAAAATTCAAACGAGAGAAAGAACGAAAGGTGTTTTCTTGATACGATGATACAATACATTTAGTTTTAGTTTAGAGTAACTAAATTTTTTTAAATAAAAAGAAATATAAGTTGAGAACTACTGCATTTATAGAAAACACTAACCCTATAAAATATTCACACACTGTGTTCTCATTGAAAGATATCGCTACTTGATCGACAAGGGTTTACATTCGCCATTGCATTTCTTAGAAACGTATAACCTTATGGATTCTATGAGTAATGCACGTGTATATAGTTTTATAGTGTTTCGATTGCATACGATAACGGTGAACAAAAAAAGATTCAGATAAAAGATAAAAAGGTATACATGTATTAGTCTGGATAAATATTTGTATTAATTTAAAATAATATCAAAATATATTTATCTAATACACCATTATTATTATAATAATTATTAAATTATTTTTATTCCAAAATATTATATCTTTTATAAATATAAATATAATTTTTAAAATATAAATATTAGTTATATAAATAATATTAAAATATTAATTATATATAATAATATATATTAATAAATATAAGTTATATATATTATTTAAATAATATTTCAAAATCAGCATGAACATTTAAAATGTCTCAAATTGTAATTTTGTAATCTGAATCTCTTATTGATTAAATGGTGTAAATTTTTGTTCTGTTAGAAGGAGAAAATGTGTGTTATATATGTGTGTATATGAGAAGTTGTTTGTACTCTACAGGTAGATGAAACCTAATAGATGCCGGCAATCGACTTTAAATATTGTCATGCATCGTTAGACTCGTTCAAACGATACTCGGATCCGATTAGGTGCGTCGTTTAAAATAATTTCGAGTAAACGAGCGTTAACCTCGACATTGTTCTCTTGCGACCATGATAAGACGATTATCAAGAGAAAAGGAGAAAAAAAAAACAGAACGAAATAAAGAAAATAAGAGAAAAGAAAACAAACTGAGAATGAGTGATAAAATAAAAATAGAAATATTGATTTGTAAATATGTATATATATGTATGTATCTTAGATCTCAGGAGTGTTATCTCTCGTGATGGTACACTTCCGTTTCCTATTCCATCATAATCACATAATTTACACTATATGTGAGAAAATTCGAAACAAATCGAATAAAATTAATTTTATTACACTATTATATAATATTTTTATGTAATATTTATTTATTTCTTTTATTTCAAATTTTCAAATTAATTTACACGATATAGTGTCGATTTAGAAAAATCTATATTGAATCTTTCTAAATGTTATATATATATATATATATATCTAAATATAAAAGTTATTATTAAACTTTTCTTTCGAAATTACGCATTCTTTTTATGGACAATTCGATAAATTAATTCTCACGTAACAAAAAAGAAAAGGATTTATGTTTTACATTAATATAATAAAAATCTGTAATAAAAACCGATGGGACGAAAAATATTGGATAAGTTTTAAAATAGATTGAATATAAGATAGATATTGGATTGACCGGAATGCTATGTATCGATCTATAAATTTTATATTCATAAATATTTTTAAATATATATATATATATA